CCGGAGCCTGTGCTCCGCAAATGGGAGAGGCCACAACAGTGAGAGGCCCGCATAACGCAAGAAAAAAAATAAATAAATAAATAAAAAATAATAATAAAGTACGAGGGAAAGTTTGATATCTATTAACGTACTTCCATCCATAACACATAAAACCAAAGTTTCACACATCAGGAAAGGAAGAAAATTGATAATGGATTATCTACTTCATTCTCTCATTCATTCATTCACTCACTCATTCAGTTGATTACTGTTAACGGAGCATTTCTCAGCACTGGGAAGTGTCCAGGTGATCCGGATACAGTAGTCAATGAGGCTGGCTGAGAAGTGCCTGAACTCATTTATGAGCTTATGGTTTTTGTGAAGGAAAGTACATGGGCAGCTACTACTGTATTATATAAAATCTTACATATCAGAGAAGGCTAAAGAGGGCTGGTATTTTTAGATGCTTATGATTCAATTTTGCCAAACCAAGTTTTTCTCATTTATAGAGTCTGGAAATAAACTTTAAACATTTACTTACATAGGTAACAAGTAATATTCTTTATTCGAAAATGTGTTTCATTTGTATTTTCAGCTCAAATGGAAAACTGCATATTTTTTTCCTAAAGGATCTGAACCCCTCACCACACCTCCATGTATGGATTTTGGGGTGTGGGGAGGTGCACAGTAGGATAAGAAAGTCACCCCCTTCCAAGTTGGTACTGATTTGGTAGGAGCGGGGAGAGAGGCTGAATTAACATGTGTGATTATGGTCTCTCTTGTGAGTAAGAATTCCAGTGAGCAAAGAGGGGGGGCCAAGGAATAGAATGGGAGATCTGACTGCATTTAATGCCTGAATAGTTGGGAGAATAGATCAAAATTCCAGCTCAGAAATGCTTGAATAGAACCACTCTCCCAATACCTGCAAGGTTTTCCTGTCCTTGGAGGGCATGTAGCAGGTGTCAGGGTGAAGGTCAAAAGGATAGAACTGGGTCGTGGGGTTCCATGCTTTTGGAAGTGTCCCCATTATATTATTAATCTTTTGACTCTCCAGTCCCTTGGGAGTCACCCCATTTTCTCACCCCACTCTCTTGCTTGGGGAGGGCAGCTCACCCAGGAAATTCCAAGGAGGAAGTGACTGCTTTTGGGTGCACTTCTCAAGGCAGTGGACCCGGAATATCCCATAATGGAGAAGACAACAAGGTACAGTGACAAATGTGTGTCATTCTAGGACTAGTCATTGTGTCATGCTCATGCAGTTTCCTAAACACCTCTGCTCTGGGCTCCTCTGGGGCAGTAGGCCCTTGATTTATGCTCAGAATCTCCGAGCTGCAGTGGGAGGAGAGGCCATTGCAATTAGACTTTTCACGGTCCTCTTCTCTAAGCTAGACAAGCTCTGACGAAGCCAAAACTAAACAGAGAACACATGGGAATGAGCCGTAATTTTGCATCGTTAAGGAAATACTGAAAAATCTGAATTTCAGATTCTGTGATGGACCAGTATCTTTCAAGCAGAACTAATGTGTGGACAAATTTATCTTTCTTTCCTTCCCCACCCCTCAAGCCCAGATGCTAGAAAATGGAATAGGGCATTAGGTTATGAGATGGTTCAGAGCAATGGTAGATAGAACCGCGGGTAAGGATGGTTCCTGAATATTCCTTGCTGGACTGTTGTCATCAGTAGTTTATAAGATTTTGGAGTGATACGATTCCATGAGTGTTTTCCCGAGGCCAAGCCAGACACTTGTCCACACAAGGTGATTGTGCTGACATCCATTTGCTGGCATGGAAGGGCCTTTGCTCTGGAATCCCTAAAGAATCGATAATGACATTAAACTCCAAAACTTACAAATGCATTTTGTGGGGAATGCTGCTTATCTTGGAAAACAGATGGTTCTGGGATAGAAGACTCAACATCAAAGGCATAAAACATCTCAGAAAGTGCTGGATTATCTTAGAAAAGCTGACTAGTGTCTGACATCAGTTCTAGCCATCTGGCAGAGGAGGGCCTTCCTGTTCCTTGGGTCACAGTGGAAAGATGGGCTGTCAGGCTACTGAACCGAGTGTGTGCTTTGCCTCTGTGCTAATCTCTGACTCTCCTTTTAAACGTTGAAGGTCGTTAGAGGAAGCAGGAGGTGTCCAGGAAGCAGGAGGTGTCCAGTGTGACCTGACGCCTGCGGGCATGTGTCTGCGGAAGTCTGCGCTTCCCCACTTTTTATAGTAGTGCCTCCTTGCCTTGTTCTCTCTTGGATCTCCCCAGGCCAGGACTTCATGTACCACCACTAAATATATGCTCCCATCAGTAAATCTGTGCTCAGAGCATCTTATGTACAGAACACGGTGTCCCCGCGGCCGGCCTGGTGTGTGAACCTGGCTCGCCTGCTCTGACTCTGAGCTCGCGGTGCGGGGCGCAGCCAGGCCAGTGTTAATTGGGATGCTCTGTGGATTCTTTTCTGGTTTCAGGAGAGGATCAGTGGAGAAGAACTGGAGAAGAATGTTCGAGATTGCGCAGTGACAGAAGCAGCTGGGTGGCTTGCGAGAGCATATGCTGGGCTGAGCAGGAGGGGAAGGAAGCCAAGAGGACGGCGGTGGATGCCGGGCTGCCCCCAGGGTCGTGGCGGAAGCACATGCGTCCCAGCTCCTAACCCCTAACTCGCAGAGGCTGAGCTGAGTCCACTGAGAGGCTTGCCTAGGCTCCAGGGGACGTGGGTTTGAGAGCTACCTGCCACTCCATGCTCCTGTCACTGGGAGCTGGCCTCTGTCCTTGCTGTGCTGTCATTTGAGGAGCAAATGACCACACAGACCTTCCTACCTCAGGCTTGATGTGTGGGCTCAGGTGATGGGAAGCCTGAGAAGCTCCTCATTTAATCCGAAGGTGCCGTACAGGGGCAAGTAATCATTTTCCCACGCTCAGATTTCAGAAGCCCATTCGTTAAACCTAACATGGTTTCTCTTGCTCAGGATGAATTTGTAAAGACTGCACTGGAACCACATGACTACGCCTCTTTCTTCAGCACAAGGAAGCCCAGGGCTGCCCCGTGCACACTGCAGAAATCCCTCTGGGGTTTGCCCACGACAGCTCTGCTGTAACTGCGAGACCCCAGACACCAGAGGGGTTTCCAAGGAGACACGTTTCTTTCTGGAGAAGCTTCAGCCACGTCGGAAGCTCCCTGAGGTCAGGGCCAGGCTGCCTGGTGCACACCCAGGCCTCTGGCTCACGTCTGGCTGGTGCAGGAGGCGCTCAGAGTGGGCTCCAGGCGGGCGCCAGGATCGTAGCAGCACCTACTTCCCAAGGGAACCGCCGGAGGGGACTTTGGGCTGATGGCCCTTCTATAGTATTGGTCCTTCAGTGGACAGGCTTGTGCTAGTAAAGGTGACTGTAAAGGTGGCAGCCTGGCCTGCACGTGACAGCAGCACCCCTTTCTACATACCTACACAGCCCTGCTCCAGCACATGCCCCGCTGCCGTCAGGGCTCCTGCCCCCCAGACCTCAGTGAGGACAGGCGAGGCTGGCCGTGGCCAGTGCTGATGCCTGTTCACAGGGCAAAGCACAGTCCAGGCAGCTTCACGACGTCTCAGAGCCTGTCTCCTGAGATCAGGATGGGCTTTCTCCGCAGTCAGCATGGGCTCTCCCAGGGTCAGGAGGATTCTTTCCAGGGAAGGCTGGTCAGGTCGTCTTGGGGCGGGCAGCCCAAGTGCCGCCTTGACTTCTGGGGAATGCAAACCTGATTGTATCACTAAGGACACCCCACCCCCTCTGTGGCTCGACACTGTCTTTGCAGCACCCAGGGCCTGTCACAGAGGGCCCCGCTGATGCCGCACCCGCCTCTGGGCTCGCCCGCCCTGTCTTCTGTTGCCTGGCTGCCTGGACCTCTCCATCCTCAGACACACCAGGGTCTCACTTAGGGTCTGCTGGGGGTCTTTGCCTTCCCCTCCCTCACCATTCCCTCTTGCACGCGTGCGTGCACGCACACACACACACACGTTAGGCTCATTC